TGACATTTTCTGAAATTATGTGCTGTGTAATGTCAGGCTACTTTTAGCACTTTCCTAAGTTCTTCTTTAGGTTTGGAGTGTCATATAATTATTTTTCTGGCCATATATAGATATATATGCTATTCACCCCTTCCCCTCAGCCCTACGCCTTCAAGCTAAAGATAATTGGGACACCCCACCCCTTGACGTAAACGTGCAAAACCAGGAGTAGGGGTAAGGGGAAGGGCTAAGGGGTAGAATTGGAATTGGGCCTTACAATCTAAGCCTGGAGCCCCAAACAAACAATAAATGAATCTTTACTGTCTATAAAAATTTTCATTGACGCATAATTTTTTGAGATGCTACGGTTTGAGAAATATGTGTTAGGGAACCAACATGTAACATGTTAATTAAATTAAATTGATCCAAACTTCCCATTGCTGTACTTCTTTTTCACTTCGAGTTACTCTCAAATCATGAATAGATCCCTCATGGGCCCAGTCCAAATCTTTCTATCAGAAATCAGTGGAATTTTTCCAGAAATGAATCTTAATTTCCTTGAGTAGCGCGCAAATTGATAGATACTGAAAGCCTGTCAGATATAGAGAAGTGGGGTGGGGTTTGCGAAGGGTCAATTGAATTACGGCGGAATAAATGATTTATTATTCCGTGGTGGCAGTTCTGACTAACATCTAAAATAACATTTGAGAAGAACACAGACTCTGTGGCTCATCTGTAGAATAATAATGTGGTAAAATGTTACATGCGGCGCCAAGAAACTTTTTAGGTAGCCGGCATGACTGAAGCTAAACCAGAAAGCGGTGCGGTCTTCGACAATCGCTAACCAACACAAACACGCATTCATTCACAGAGGCCTGAGCATGCAGAGCTACATGGGAGTTCATCTTTGAGAAGGAAACCAGAGACTCCCTCAAGACTCCTTGGCCACGATTGAGTCACATCTCTGTCTTTGGGTGGGATAAGCCGTGTTGTCTGTGTTCGTTGCCGATAGATTTCAGATGAGTATCGACTGAGTCACACTAAAGCGGTTGGTGGTTTGCATCCCATTAGCGGTACGTTCTGTGTGCTCAGACTCCACTGATCCAGTATCACGTGTCAAAACTGACGCAACAGGCTTTTGAAGCAGAAACACACACTGTGACAGCAATATTTCAAACCAGAGAGATGTGAATTACCACAATGGCGGAGTTTCGGCGGGAGCCAATAGGAGTGGTCGGCAGGGAGTTGAGGGAGGAGCCGGCGTTGAACTCCTCGGAGCTGAGGTTGTCCGATCCGTCGCTCAATCCGCTGCTGATCGAGCTGCTTTCATCCCAGCTGCGAAGAACACAGGACAAATCACATCAATGCACGGCAGGGTGTTTCTTTCAGACTTTCTTGCATTTGATAACACTTTACAATAACAGTACAACAGTTAAAGTGACTTTACTTGGAGGATCACATTCAAATTAACTAATTCTTAACTACTCACGAATTCCTGTGTTTAACTGTTCATGTAGACGGTCTTGCATAAGGAGTTCATGGGTAGTTAAGAATGGGTTAATAATGATGTACCCCTCCAAGTAAAGTCATGATGTAATTACACATTAACAGCTCATGAGTTCATGTTGGTTGCATTTAGCTTAAACGTAAATGTTAATTAATGCATTAATTAACAACATACTGACAAGTCATTAAGGTAGTCTTTATTCACACCTGAACTCACGTAACTCATGGTGTGTTTTAAGTTAACTCATGATTAGTGAGCACCTTAAATCATCATTAAATCATAATTAAGTAATGTTTGGTTTATATATTAACATTTTAACAATTAATAAGTATGTATGGACTGTTATTATAAAGTGTTACTGAACATTTAAACATAATTTAAGAGATCAAATGATTAGTAAATGATAGCAGTTTGCTTTTCATCTCAAACGAGTTCAATCATCACATATTTCTATAGAAATTCCATCTATGATAATTTCATATTTGTTGTTTTATAAGTGTGCAAGCTCACATTATGGAGTAATTGCTAGGGCCAGACGGAATCTGCAGACATCTTTTTGCTATTTCTGCACATAACTTTGATAAAAATCTGCAGATTTATGCGGAATGATTTTGGGAGTATTATAACTAAAACCTTAATAAATAAAAAATAACTTTTTTTTTTTACTTTTATTTAATGTTTACAATGCAAATGGTAAATGGTAAACAAAGCAAGTCTCTCATATAATATCTCTACTAAAAATACTAATACTAAACTAAAAATATTACTTTACAAAGTATATTGTAAATAAATCATATAAATATTTTCATATTAGTCAGTAATTTTACTGAAATTAAAAAAACAAACTGAATAAATATGAATTTACACACATTTACATAAATAAATAAACAGAATCAATGATGGGCTAAAAATCTGCGGAATTTTTCAGATTTCTGCGCGCGCAAATTCCGTGTGGGCCTTGTAATCGAATACTTCTGTGGGTAAATATAAATACATATATTTAAAACATTCTGTTTTGAAATAAATGGTTTTAGTCAATGATTCAATTAAAAACCTATAAAGACAAAACCTAGCAGGTATGAATTTGAAAAGTACCCTAACAACATTTATATTTAGTCATTTAGCATCTTTAGTCCAAAGCATTCAATTCAACAATTCAACAAGAAGAGGCAATACACAAAGAAGTGCTAATTTTACAAAGGAACTGTTTGTGCTCAGAGAATTAAGTGCTAGAAGAGTGTTTTTACAGGTGGTTTGTCAAGCCCACTCATTTGTTTGAAGCTCAATTAGTTTTTTTTTTTTTTCTAATGAGATTGAAGTATGTCCAGATTAAATCAGTTTAACACTCTACATAACACACATCAGTGGTCCCCAACCCCTAAGCCACAGACCGCTACCAGTCTGCAGATCAATTGACATTAATTATTTCTGTTTTATTTATTATCTGAGTCTTTTATTTTGAAAAATGACCATATTATCTCGGTTACATTTGGGTCACTTGAGCGCCAAAATTGAACCCACAGGCTCACAAAATGAGTAACAGTTTGGGATGTTTCTTTGCGAAGAGGAAAAGGCTTAGTGAAGGACCCACAAACTTCCATGGAATAGATCTGCAACCCATTTATTAACAAATCAGGTGAATCCAGCATGCATGTGCAAGAAGATCAACTGCTAGAGTTTGTAATGTCCAATGGAGGCACACGTCAAGCTTTGTAAAAATGTTGGGGACCAGTGCAATACATGATGTACTTTTAGTGGTTGTGAATTATTTACTCAAAAGAAGTACACTCACTCAAAAGAGTATGAGATTTCAGACAGAGCCTGTCACTGTTTTTGTTTTCTTTTTGAAAAATAACTACAAGAAATTAACAGAACAATGATTCAATGAATCTTACGTTTCTTCAGACTTTATACATTATACTTATTTATCCATAATGGACCTACCTAAAAACACAGTTTATCATGTTACTAATTCTCCACCTAAAATCATTTTTGGTAATCTACAACCACCATTTTTAGAATATAAGCATTGTTTCTGCACTCAACTGGATGACTCCATACTACCATTATACTTATTGTGTGTCTGGTCCTGCTGTATCAGGATCCTCAAGCAGCAAATGCTCCAGGATGGAAGGTGACTTTCAGATAAGAGCACATCTTGTAACAAAGGCCCTGATAAACCCTGAGAAAGTGATAAGGCCATCCTCGCATCACTGAGCATATATGCTGCAAAAAGACAGCTGAAAGTCTTCCAGTCAGAAGCAACAACTGATAAAATTGCAGTGTCAGAAAGGAACCTGGCCTTTTCTATCAGATAAAATGTGTGTTATGTAAGTGGGCGCCTTATATCTGAACAAACCATGCAGCTACAGGGGTTTGTCATATCTGTGAAGCCGTCTGCTCAGCTGTGGGGCTCTATGGAATGAAACAGCTGACTTTAGCATGACATTCCTCATTTTGTAATGTTCCTTTACAAAACCATTCACTGCTAATCCCCTTGAATTCTTTGAATTTTTGGAAAGACATTTGGCTTTAAAGTGTTTAATGTTTATGCATTTGAAAAGAAAGTCTGCAAAGATTCTTCTTATTCTGTTAATATGAAATGTGTACTTAAGCAAAACGCAAACTCAAAAAAAAAAAATGCATAAATAAATCAAGAGTAAAAAGCAAGGCAAAACAGTGCACAAAAGCAGAAAAAAAATCAGAAAAAAAAATCATGAAAACGAACTAACTAAATAAATGAATAAATAAAGATTTAAAAGACGAAAAAAGAAGCAAAAATCAAAGCAAATCAAAAACAAAGCAAAAACTAAAAATCAAAGCAAAAAAACAAAAACAAAAGAAAAAGAAAAGCTCATTTAAAAAAAACTAAGTAAAGACAACAAAGCTAAACTAAAATAAAGCAGATAAAAAGCAAAAACTAGCTTTAAAGCAATGCAAACCAAAACTAAATAAAAAAAACAAACTGAAAAAAATATCAAAACTAACTAACTAACTAACTAACTAACTAACTAACTAACTAACTAACTAACTAACTAACAAGTAATTTGGATTTAAAAGCAGAAAATAAAAACAAAAATCTAAGTAAAGGAAAATCAACAAAAACAAAAGAAAAGCCAATTTAAAAAACAAATCAAAGAAAAGAAAACAAAGCTAAACTAAAATAAAATAAAGCAGATAAAGGCAAAAACAAGCATCAAAGCAATGCAAACCAAAACTATATAAAAAACTAACTGAAAAAGATCATCAAAATTAAAATAAATAAGTAAATAAATAAGATTCAGATTTTAAAGCAGAAAATAAAAGCAAAAATCATAGCAAAGCAAAAACAAAGCAGGAACTAATAATCAAAGAAAATAATCAATCAATAAATAAATATATAGTTCAGATTTACAAGCAAAAAATAAAAGTCAAAGCAAAGCAAAAACCAGGTAGAAACTAAAAAGCAAGCAAACTAATGACCAAAGCAAAAAACAATTAAAAACAAAAGAAAAGCTCATGAAAAACAAAACAATCAAAGAAAAGCAAACAAAGCCAAACTAAAATAAAGGAGAAAAAAGGAAAAAACAAGGCAAAGAAAAAAAGCAGAAACTAAAATCAAAACAAAAAACAAAAGAAAAGCTAAAAAAAAATGAAGAAAAGACAACAAAGCAAACTAAAATAAAGCAGAAAAAACAAAAAACAAAGCAAAGAAGAAAACGATGCTGAAACTTAAAACTTAAGCAAAAAACAAAACAAAAAAAAAAGCATCAAAACAATGCAAACCAAAACTAAATAACAAACCTAAACAAACCCTTTTGGGGTTTACAGCAATGCAAAAATTAATAAAATAGATACAATAAAATAAAATAACTACTAAAAAGTGAAGTCAAACAAATAAGCCTAAGATGCTGTTTACACTAGGGTGTTAAATCCATTAGAACTGCAAAAACGGAGCGCTATAAAAATGCTAGTGTTGTGTTTCAGTATAGATGGACTGACACTTGACAATGAATGCTTATCCAAAATAGCCCTCTGACTGGTCTGCTGGACAACTACTGACAAATACAAGCGCCAGAAAAATATGCACATGCCAAGTGAGAATGAAAAGTCCTGTATCACGTTTATCACTGCATATTATGGACAGAAACTGTTTTTATGAAACGCCAGTATGTATAAGGAGCATTTTCATTATTAAATGCAATTTTAAAGTGTAAAGAGCCTAAATACTCCACACGGTTCTTCAGAAAGGCTCTGAGACATCATAATGGCTTTTGAACCTCCTCCACAAAACACTTTCCACACTTTCCCTCCGTTTGCACCCTCAAGTCTCCGTCTTCCAGATGCCTTAAATTCCTCAGATGTCCCAGTGACACATAAACACTGGATTAAGTACCGGCAGCTTGTGAGGAGTCTCTCATTATAAGATATCCAAGCACACATTCGGCTGTTTCATGAGCCGTCCTGCAGCCCCGAGGTGAAACACTGACGCTGTCTTCATGAGTGATAATCATCAGGCTTCAGCTCTCAGGTTTAAAACACCCCAGGCATCAAGCTCTGTGATTACACTCAAAAACCCCTCATCTTAAGACCTGAGATGACAGAAACTCAGCCGTGTTTACCTGTATGGCCGGGCATATTTGTACGATGTCTCATTTGACAGATGTTTTTTTTTTTTTTTTTGCTTTGATGCATCGCAAGTATGTCAAACTCCCATTGTAAACACTACAATCTTTAGTCAAAGCTATGAACTTGACAGCCAGCATATTTATTCGCTTGAATCATCTCACCTGTGTGAGATTTACTTCAGAAAGTGCCACTTTAAAGGGACTGTTCACCCAAAACTCAT